TCCCGACGCGCCCCCCCCCCCCCCCCCCCCCCCGCAACCCGAACTGCCCCACGGCCCACAGCAGGCGGTCCCACCTCACTCACCCCGGGCTTCCTCTTCTGCTTCTCAGGCCTGGTGTCGTCCTCAATGATGAGCTCGATGCCGGCCTCAGAGCGCAGCACCTCCTTCAAGTCCTCCTCCAGGTGAGGGGTCTGGGGCTGCAGCAGGGGCAGGGTCGGGGCGGCCCATGTGAGGCACTACACTTGGGCTGTGTACACACAGGAGGCGGAGCAGGCCGAGCCACACTGGGGCCACCGGGGGTAGGAAGGCAGAAAGTACCCTCATCTCCCATAACATCAACCATCCTGCTCAGACAATCCGCCATCAACCTGGCCTCAAGGGCCCGCCGAGGCTGGAAGCAGTCCCCTCCCGTGACCCTCACACTGCGCTGTATGGCACAGCTGTCATCTTCTACAGGGTGGACACTCAGGAACATCAAGAGCCTGGCTGAGTCATACAGCTGCAAATGGAGATCTGCTCAGAGCCCAGGCTCACTCACCCCTGGTTCCACGCTAAAGCAGATAGATACTCAGATCTGTTTCCCTCTCTCAGGCCTGGGGGCTCCAAGTGACAGGGGAGGGAGCAAGTCTCTGAGAGTGGGTAGGAAGGGCCCAGGGACACCTCAAGTCACAAAAAGTTCCTAGAGGGACCAGCAGTTAGCGTAATGGCTGTCGCTGAACTCCCATGTAGTCAATCATGGTTCGAGTCCTGGACCTGGTGGCTTAAACTCATGCTGGCGTGTGTGTGTGCATGCCCAAGATCCCGAGAGGAGAATGAAGAGATTGCGGCGTGGCTATCTTCCCTGGGGGGTGATTTCTCGCATTCTGTGTCTCTCTTTCTGATGAGCACACACTCCCTATAGCAAAAACCTCCCCCCCCCCCCAAAAAAAAAAAAAAAACACAAAAAACAAAACCCAGAAGGCCAGTCAGTGATGTGGTGAAGGGGGCTGGATCTTACATGGCCATCTACACAGCTGGAGTCCTGGACCTGGTGGCTTGAAAAACACACTAGGCATGTGCACATGTGTGACCAAAATCCCAAGAGGAAGGAGAGATGGAGGAAACATGACTATCCCCCATGGGGGTGCTTTCCGCCCCCTCCGCACCCCTGTGTCTTTCCAGCAGGCACAGACACTATAGCAATATTTTTTTTAAAAAAAAGGAAGACCCCCTGGGGCCAGCAGATGCATAATGGTTACATCACTGGACTCCCACATGGCCAACTGAGGTTTGAATCCCAGACCTAGTAGCTTCAAACTTACACTAGGCATGTGTGCATGTGTGCCCAAGATCCCAAGGGGAGATTGGAGGAGAAAGAACTGCAGTGTCACCATCGCCCCTGCGGGGTGATTCTTGCTTTCTGTTTCTCTGGAGAGCTCACATGCCCTATAGCAAAAAAATCACTCTTTAAAAAGAAAAAAAAAAGGCCCCTACAGAGTTTATGGCTGCCATGGCCAAAAGACAGGCCCCACAGACCTGTCCGGGGCAGCGGGCAGCCATGGCAGCTCTCCACCTCGACAGCAGGGGGCAGTGCTAACTAGGACCTTGTCTTTGCCCAGGGCAAAGAGATCCCTAGAATCCCCAGTTAGCTCAGAGTCAGTCCCAGGGCAGGACCAGGAAGAACCCCAGGCCTCCGCACACTGAAGGGAGCAGGGGGCTCCACTCGGACTTCACTTACAGCCCAGTGCTTCTCTAAGCCACACTTTTCATAACTTGAATTCCTTCCTTCCTTTTTTAAATTTTGCCAGAGTGCGTTTGCACTTCCAGAGAGACAGGCAGGCGTAGTAAGGATCACCATCCGCCCCAAGAGGGGATGACCACAGTGCAGTCACTCCTCCTCCATTCTCCTCTTGGGAATTTTGGGGACACATGCACATGTTCCTGGCGTATCTTTCAAGCTACTGGGTCCAGAACATGAACCAGTCGGCCATGCAGCACCAGGCTGCCTCAAGCACCACACCGCCACTAGGCCCCTGCCTCCTGATTTCTAAAATGCCTGCTTGTTCCAGGAAGCCCAAGGTGACAGCTCTTCCTTTTTTCATGGGGGAACATGCAAAGGGTGGGGCAGAGGGGCAGTCTGTACGTGGCTAGGAAGACAGCCAGGAGGCAGGCTTCACACAGGTGAGTCCAAAGTTTCCAAGGTTTGGGGAAAATCTACCACTCCTGCAAACTGGGCTGAGGAGCCCTCTCTACTCCACCACCTAATCTGCCCAGCCCCTCCTCCTACACTGAAAATGTTCTCGTTATCTCTGTGTCACATGTCATGTTCATCTCCCCATCACAGATGTTAAGCATCACCAGGCTGGCACTGTGTCCCCACCTCCAGTCAGACCATGTAGCACGCTGACGCTGAGGGGTCAGATTGAGGAAATAGCTTCATTTTCCCTTTTATCAATAAGGATACCTGCCTCCTTCCTCCCAGAAGAATCCAGTGAGATCTCAGAAAGAAAGGGCCCCATGAACTGCAAATGGCTGGAGGACCCCGAAGACCCCACTGCAGAGACGGCGGCAGTGACGCGCCACCTACCAGGGGCTTTAGTGGTCCATACTTCTCCAGGGCGTTCTTGAATGGGGTTGGTGTGTGGGGAGTGTTGTCCATGGAGTACTTCTGATCCGGGGTCACAAACCTGCTAGGGCCAGAGAAGGCTTAGTGCCAGACACCAGGCACTGTGGCCTTGTTGCCCAGCCTCCACCAGGACACCAGCCCCAGTGGCAGGCAGGGAATCCCCAGCAGAGCCTCTTCCCGACACACCTATCCACCTTCCCGGGGGCTCAGAGGACAGGCCCACCTCAGAAACAGAAAAGGACGGGAAAGAGGCTAAGCAGAGCATGGCTGCGTGCGGGCCCCAAATCCTGACGGGATGGAGCGATGGAGAAGGGGCTGCAGCGTGACCATGCCCAGGCTGTCTCCGTCTCTCTCTGGTGAGCACACATCCTCTGGGAATCCAGAAAAAATACATTGTCCCAGTGGGGACAAAAACTTGGAGGGAACACTTCAGCAACAACACCAGGGGACATTCAGGTCAGGAGCAGCACCAAGACAGAGGTGACCCTCCACTGCGGTTTCTGCCTGCGACAGAACAGCCACTGGGTAGGGCGGAAGACAGGGCAGAAAAGGCTCCTCACACCCGAGCACCAGGCTGGAGGTGTGGGCTGGCTGACGGCAGGTCCCAGACTCCACAAACATGAGCCCTTGTGCTAGGCCCACATGACCTTTGTCACCTAAAAGTAATGCCGTGGTGCCGTCAAGGCACGACCAGCTCAGGGGCAGGGCTGACGTCCAGACACAGCCCACTTTCCTGTCTCCAATATCCAGCCCATGGGGAGATAAAAGCCTACACGAGGTCAGCCTGGTGGCAAAGCAGTGACACAGAAGCCCGTGATGCTAAAGGCGAGGGAGGGTCTCTCCACATGCACAGGGCACGTGACCTGGTGGGCCAGGGATGGATCACAGGGTCAAGACCCTGTGGGTGCGGCCTGTCTCTCTTACAGAAGAAATAAACCTTAAAAGGTAGAAACCATTCTTTCCTTCCTTCCTTCCTCAGGACTGAAAGGTCAGAGGGAGATATACACACTCTTCCCTAACCCCGTTCTCTCCCACGTGGGACTCACAGATACCCCTCGTAAGAAAAAACAGAGACAGCCCAGGTCAAAGGTAAACAGCTCAGGGTTCCAACCACAGCTCAAAGAGACAAAGGTGGGACATGGGGCTCCTGAGAAAGGTAAAGGAGCTCCAGGACCCTCTGACTGAGTGAGACTGAGAATATGGCCATGGGTCAGAACCAAGGGGGCCGACGTAACAGGGAGCAGGAAGACCACCCAGAGGTGAGACACCAATTCTGTACGCCAGAGGACTGGGCAGTGGGGAAGCGCAGAAAACCATCCCATAATATCCTCTCACAGTTCCTGGAAATGACTAGAGGCGAATGTAAAGATGGAAAAGAGACAGAGACCAGGTGAGCTTTGTAGGAAGGCTCCCCAAGGGAGAAGGAAAATGAGGCAGGAGAAAAAAACAACGAATCCAAATCTCAGCTTAAGGTTTGATCCTTTAGTGTGAAATTAAAAATCAACAGGAAAAAGTAAATGACATACTACACCCAGGGACATAGTCCACAGTGCAGTGGCTAAGCACTGTACTTAAGGAGCTGGACCCCCCAGTGTAACTAGGGTTCAACTCCTCCGCCCCAGCCTGAAATAAGCCAGGCACACATCCAAGCTCTGACGGCCTAGGGGACTGAAGAAAGGGGATCGCAAGTTTTGCACTTAAAACCTACAGTTCTTGAGGCAATTTAAACTTTTTCCTTTACTGAGACTACAAAAGACCAAATTAAAAAGTAAAAATAAGAGGCCAACAGGTGGTATGGTGGTTAAAGCAGCTGGATTCCCACATGGCCAACTATGATTTGAATCCTGGTTCTGATGGCTTGAAAAATCACACTGGGCCCAGGGGCATGCATGCCCAAACCCCGAGAGGGAAATGAAGAGACCGTGGTGTCCACCCAGGGGGGTGATTTTTCTATTTCTTTCTGTCTCTGTCTCTCTCCTCTCCAGCAAACACGCGCCCTATGTCAAAAACCTAAAAAGACAAACAAACAAAAAAAAAACAAGTAAAAATGAGGAAAAGAAAGGTGAAATACCAGACTGGATTAACAAAAAGGAAGAGCCTTGGTGGCTGGAAGGGAAGACACTTTCTCCAAATGCAGTCATTGGTGTTTTCCCGAGACAGGCCCTCTTCACTGCCACGTCGGCAGTCCTGGGACCCACCAGGCTGCCACCGCTGAGGGCAGGGACCGGTGGGTGGGCAGCACTCACGCGGCATGTTTCTGGTGCAGGGGCGTCTTATCCCGGTGCAGGGGCGTGGTGACCACCACCTTCTGACTGCACACAGGCGTGGACGTCAGTGAGGGGCTCTCCAGCTCCAGTGCATCCTGTTTGTTCCAGAAGTTCAGAAACTGCCAGGAAGGAGAGAAAAAGCAAAGCAAAATCTGACTGGAATTGTTTGGTTTTTTTTTTAAAGCTTGGGAGAGACCAGGAGACAGTGACTTCCGGAGAGGGTCACACCACGCCACGATCCTCCCAACAACCCTCCAGCCAGGATCACAGGCATGCCTGACACATTTGGGTTGCCCTGGGAACCTTGTGGCTGGGGAATCACAAGAAGTGCCTGGCACCTGCACCACCCAGGCAGGCCTGTTTTTTATTTTTTGCCATGTGGATTCTTGAGGCCTGAGGCTGGCAGGTGGAGACCCCAGAGACCCCTTTCCATGTGTCTAAGCTCAACGCTGAGATCCTCTCCTGAACTGTCAGGCACCAGAGGACAGCGACCAGAGAGGCCAACAGGTGCCTACCACAGAGGTTTGCACAGGCCCTGTGTCCACTGCCATGCTAACCCCAGGTTCTGCCACTGCCACCCTTCAGTGTAACTAAGGCAAAGGAGGCCAACTGCAGGACAGGTCCTCTTAGTAAACACTGGCTCCTAACTGAACTGAGAAGGCGCGGGGGGTGGCAAGGCAGTGATGCTCCCGGGTACAAAGTGCCTTCTCTTGCCAGTGCTAAGCACTGTCCGTGGATGACTTCGTTTAGTGCCCACAAATCCTTGGAGACATATGACTATGTCACCCTTTCTCCAAGTAAGAAGAGCGAAGCTCAGAGAGGCCTAGACTCTTGCCCTGAGTGCTAGAGGCTGTCTTAGCCTCTCCAAAGGCACAGCTGTGTCACCTTCACCTTTGACTGCACCCCCCTCACCCCCAGTGCTGGCAAATCTGCTACAAAGTGTGTGTTCATGTCCATAAATGGGATCCTTTAACAAGTATGCTGGAGGCCTCTTCCTCCCCTTCACAGCCCGGCTAGCACCTGTTACTGCCTCAGCTCAAACAACTGCTCCTCCCAGAAGCCATCCTGAACCGCCCAGACTAGATGCATTCAAAGCACCCTAAGTCTTCTCCATTCCATTGCCCACTGGTGCGTAAGCTCCATGAGCAGGGCCAGGTCTGCCTTTCTTCCCCATGTCCTCAGTACTGGGCACAAGCCGGGCACACCGTGGCTCGATGAGTACTTGCTCATGAGTACCTGTGTGCCAGGCCTGTCTGTAAACAGAAAGCTGCTGCAGTACAGTCTACACACCTGGGAGGGCGAGAAGGGCAGGGTCTTGACAGGTGTGCTCTTGGGGGTGAGGCTATTGCAGGAGTCCAGAAAGGACAGACTAGCGCTGTTCTCTGTGACAGGGGACAGAGCCACGCGCCTCTTCTTCTGTCGCTTGAGCACCGAGGGCGGCGTGCCAATGCCCAAGCCCCCGACTTCAGTGCTAGGGGAGATGGGGATCAGCTCGCCCCGACTGCTGCGGCTCAGGTCCGAGATGGTGTGGCCATCCAGGCGGTACTCCGTCACACTGGGCACAGGGGCGGCAGGCTGGAGGGACGGCAGTGTCTGCTGCTGATGTGGCCCCTGGGGCTGTACCGGGCTGCTGTTGATACTGTCCTCTGCTGACGGCTCCTCTGGGAGGTCAAACTTACTCAGGTCACACCAAGCATCCGGGTCCTGACCAGAGAGGGAGGTCAGAAATAACTGAGTTACTCACTTTTCGCTTTTAATATGACAACACTCACTCACACAAGTGTCAGCCTGCAGCTCAGGACCACCTGCTAACGCTTCATGCATCTCCTCAGTATCCTATGTCTCTGTAACTGTTGTATTTCTAGACAGGGTCTTGCTCTGCTTCAATTTCCCTGCCTCTGCCTCCGAGTAGCTAGGAGGACAGACTTGCAGGGTGGCATGGAAATCGAACCCAGGCCCACATGTGGCCTTGGCCTGCTGAGTACAAACATCCACAGCACAGGCTACTGCCTCACGGCCTTTGTCTCTGTTATTATAAAACACAGAGCAGTGGATGGGACTCCTGGCCATCCTAGGTGTCTCGGGGCCCTTCGTCAGAGTACTGAGTTCCAATCCCCACAGCTATCCTAGTAGGGAAGCATTTCTTTCCCCATTTTTACACCAAGGAACCTGGACCAGACAGGGTGTGTCCTTGCCAAGGTCACTAAGCTGCTGCTTCTTTTTTTTTTTTTTTTTAAAAAGAGGTTTTTGCCTTAGGGCATGTCATGTGTGCTTGCTTGTAGAGGGACAGAGTGAGAGTAAAGCAAGAAATCACCCACTGCGGGGATGGCCATGCCACAATCCCTTCTCCATTCTCCTACCGGTATCTTGGGCATGCAGACACACGTATCCAGCATGTGTTTCAAGCTACTAGGTCCAGGACTCAAACCATGGTCGACCATGTGAGAATCCAGTGATGTAACCACTATGCCATCTGCAGGCCCCTGTCATGAAGCTTCCAACAGCAAGCCTGAGAGTCACCCCAGATATCTTCTAACAGCAAGCTTGAAAGTTACCCCAGGTCTCCCCTCCTTTACCCAATAACTAATACTGCAGACTAGAAGGTTTTTGGAGATACAGCGTTCCACTTAGGCCTCAAGTAGACCCAGCCCCCAGTGCAATTTCTGGCCCTTGGGACTTACAGGAGCCTAGAACCATTTAGTCCTAAGGGTGGACGCCAGCTTGAGGAAGGGCTGACCTTAAGTCCAACTGCAGGGAGGCCCCTGGATCCCAGAACTCCAAATGGTATCTCACAGACCAGAAGCATGCCATATAAGGATAGCGTGGTGAGGGATGGCAGGGTACGTACCAATGCAGAGCAGCCCCAGCAGCTGATAATCCAGGGAAGGGCCTGAGTGCTGAGCTGCTGGCCGTGCAGCTGCCAGCTGTGTGACACTGCACACGCCTCCTAACCCCTGAGCTCGGGGTTCCCTCACTTGTACGTAGCCTACCACCCAGCATAGCATTCTTTTTTTTTCCCCTTTTTTGGAGAGGTTTTTGCTATCTATAGGGCAGATGCGCTCCCCAGACAGAGACAGAAAGCGAGAAATCACCCCCCAGGGTGGATGGCTGCGCCACAATCTTCTCCTCCATTATCCTCTCAGGATCTTAGGCACGCACGCACACGCACCCAGCGTGAGTTTAAGCTGCCGGGTACAGGACTCAAACCACAGTCGACTGTGTGGGAGTCCAGCAACATAGCCATTACGCTAACTGCTGGTCCCCCAGCATGGCATTCTTAAGGGACTCAGACAACTCACTCAACTCCATGGAGACCTTTGGCTTCCAGGCCTCTTACCCATCAGCTCCTGAGGCTACTCCACCCCACAGGCCTGGCTAATCAGCTAGGAGCTGGGCTGGCACACCAAGACGCAGCCTTACCCAGGAGCTCTCTCCAATGGGGCACAGCCCACAGCCAATGTGGTCACCATGGCACAGAGCCCTGGGGCTGCTCTTCCCTGAGTAACCAGAACTCACTTGCCACTCTGGCCCCAGCCCCAAACACTGGCACACCCAAAGCTCCTCTCCTGAGAACCGTGACCATTCGTGGGGTTACCCACACCATGCTCTCCTGTGCTATCATAAGCTGCCACTCACCTGGGAGAACTGCCCACTCCATGCTACACAAAGGGGTCGGGTGCCACCCTGGGCTCACACTGAGAGCTCCTGAAGGCAGGAACTGCTCGGTGACACCTTGAAGTCCCCAGGCCTTGGCCCATGGCTATGCATTCTGCACGGGTCAGCAAATGTGGACAGGATAGAGCAGTGAGTGGAATGGCGCAGGCCCTGGAGGGAAGTCTGCTGCTGACGGTGCCCCATGCCACTGTGAAGCGCCAGGACCAACGTACCGACTCGATCAAGTCCAGGGCTTCAGAGAGACTGGAGCCCACGGCAGGGATGAGCAGGTTTGCGGCCTCCACCACCCACTTGTAGGGCAGGCTCGTTTCTGGCGGGGAGCCCTCCTGGTCTTCACGCTTGGGGAACTCCCCCAGGAGCTCTGGGGTCCGCGCTCCATCCAGCTCTGCAGGGCTGGGCTCCTGCTCTGTAGAAGTGGTGGCAGCCGCGGCCTCCTCCTCACTGGTTTCCTCTTCCTTCATTGCAGGAGGTGCCTGGGGCCAGCTGGTCACAAGACTTCCCTGTTGGATATAGGCACACTGAGTACTTTTTGAGATACAGACTGTGCACTCGTTTCCAGCTACAGACGTGCAACCTGAATCTATTTAAAATGAAACACAGGTAGACTCCCATTGAGAGACATTCTATAAAATAAGCTGCCATACTGGGCACGCTGAAAGTTCAACACAACACAGACTAAGAAAGAGGTGACAAAGGAGACAGGATGAAAAGCCTGACCCTGGACTGGATCATGGGCAAGGAACACAAGTAGTAAAGGTGGACTAAGTCCTGAATCAATGTCACATTCTCTAAATCAGATATAAGCACCGTAGTTATGTAACCCTTATTCCTAGGAAACCTACACTGAAATATCGAGGAGCAAAGAGGCGCAAGAGATCTGATCACCTCACCAGTGAAGAAAATGTATGTGCATGGGGCCACTGTTTGGCGTGGTGGTTGGAGTACTGAACTCCCGCATGGCCAACCACGGTCAAATCCCAGACCTGATGACTTGCTTTCTCATTCTCCTTCTCTCTGTACTCAAACTGAGTAATTAAATTTTAAAAAGGAATTATTTATTTTATTTTGTTATTATTTGATTTGACCAGATTCTGGTTATGACTATCATTATTATTATTATTATTATTATTATTATTATTATTTGATTTGAGCAAAGAGAGAGAAAGGGAAAGTGAGAAAGTAAGCAACCAGGTCTGGGACTCGAACCATAGTTGGCTATGTGGGAGTCCAGCACCTTAACCACCATGCTACCTGCTAGCCCATCTCACTGTTGTTATGTATGTTACAGAGTACTATTTTATAGGTTCTGCCTATGTCTTACAAAGTAGAGAGAGTAACCCTTGACCCAGGCTGGCTGGGAGGGCATCATGACGCAGAGTCCCCTGTTGAGGATGCTTGTCTTCTGTCTCGCTCCTTCTCATGAAAGAAATAAAACTTTTTTAAAAAGGATGAAAGTTTCGCGTCTCGGACCGGTGGCTTAAACTCACACTAGGCACGTGTGCGTGCATGCCCAAGATCCTGAGAGGAGAATAGAGGAGAAGGGATTGCCAGGGGGTCATCCCCCCGGGGGATGATTTCTCGCTTTCTGTCTCTGTCTCTCTCTCTCTGTCTGGAGAGCACACTTGCCCTATAGCAAAAATCTCTCCAAAAAAAAAAAGGATGAAAGTTTGAAAATGCATGTATATTCATCTTGTGATGGGGAAAAAAAGAATGAAAAACCCTTTGCAGTAAAGCTCTCTTGGCAGAATCCTACACACAAGCTTGGCCTGTGACCCTGACGGACCCCACAGCAGCCTTGGAAACCAACCACACAGGTGATCAACAAAGACATGTGGAGAACAGTGAGCAAGATCCCGTTAATGGGGCCACTGTAGAGCCAGGGAGAGAGCAGGCTGGATTCCCAAGGAACTTCCCTGTGGTTAGTTGGCCTTAGGTAAGCTATGTGGCCCTGAGCTCCAGCCTCCAGGACAGGGATGTCCTGCAGACCATCAACAAGTAACATCGAACCTGGGCGGGAACTCACATTGTTATGCTGTCACATAAACAAAGAAAAGATTACATGCAAAGAAAAGGAGATAAGACTCAAAGGAAGGAAAGGAG